AAAGATAAATCCATTTCTTTACTTGGTAAAATCAAGAGAGGGGGAAAGAAAAAAAAAACATTGTCTTTTAAAAATTATCTAATATTAATACCAAAATCTGCAAAGACAGACCAATAGAAGAAAACTAAATATCAATCAAATTTATGAATATTGATACAAAAAACACTTTCAAAATTTGCAGTGAATAGTCAATGGAATATTAAATTATAACATAATAATTCCAAGTGGATTTGTACCTTGAATGTACAAAAATGTTTCAGTGTTAAGAAATGTGTGACATAACTCATGATATTAATTAGATCTAAGGAGAAAAATAAATAATATCTCCAAAGATGCCTTTTATAAAAGCATTCAGAGAAATTCAATATCTAGGCATAGATGCCCAGCAGACTAGCTCTTCTGAAGATAACAACTAGAAATTCTGCACAAAATAGAAAAAACAAACCGAAAGACCCATCCTCCTCCCCATAAAAATTATACCTATGGCTTTAGAGAGTGAATAAAGGAAATCTCCACAATGCCAGGAGGAACAAATTTGAAAGTAATCAGTATACCAAGAACCAACAAAATATGACCTATCGTTAAAAAGGACCATCAATGGAGGCAATCCATTGATGACCCATAAGCTTGAGATGACCCATAAGTTGGAACTATCAGGAAGAACTTTAAAGTAATTATTGTAATTACGTTAAGATAAAGGAAAATATACCCATAAAGAAAAGAAAATACATGAAGTCTTTTAAGAGAAATAGAAAATATAAAAGAGGACTAAATGGATGCTTTAAAACAAAAAGAACAATTGAAATAAAAAAATACTTGATAGACTTAATAGCAGAATGAAATGACAAAGGAAAATGTCAGTAAATGTGAAGTTGCATCAATAGAAATTGCCAATCTGAAGATGAGATAGAGAAGAGACTAGGAAAAAATAGAGACTCAGATACCTGTGGGATGATGCCAAATTTCTGTTATACATATAATTGAAATATCAGAAAGAAAAAAAACCACAGAGAATGGGACAAAAAAAGTTTTAAAAAGTAATAACCTTAAATTTTCCAAATTTGTTGAAAGGCACAAATTTTAAATGCAAGAAGCTCAGGGAATCCCAAACAAGATTAAATACACACACACACACACACACACACACACACTTAGGCACATCACAGTCAAACTTCTGAAAACTAAAAAGTAACATGTGAAAGCAGCAAGAGACTACACAGAATAGCAGTTCAAGTAACTGTGAACTTCTCTTCTAAAATTACGGAGGCCAGAAAACAGTGGAACAACATCTTGAGAGTGCTGAAAGAAAAGAAAATGTCAAGTCAGAATTCCCTAACTAAAGAAAATGTTCTTCAAGAATGAAGGCTAAATAAAAATGTTTAAAAAATATATATCACCAGTAGATTGCAGTACAAGGAATAGTAAAAATTAATTTTTCATATCGATGGACTATGGCATCAAAAAGAAATCTAAATCTTCTGGAACAAATGAAGAATATCAGAAATGAAAATATCTATTTAAATACAAAATACAATTATATATCCTAATTTCTTTGAAATACATACAACTTCTTTTTTAAAAAACGATTTCATTTATTTATTTAGAGGAGAGAGCATGAGCACAAGTGGGGGGGGGGCAGAGGGAGAGGTAGAAGCAGACCTGCCCATGTTGAGCAGGAAGTCTGATGTGGGGGCTCTATCCCAGGACCCTGAGATCATGACCTGAGCCAAGGGCAGACACTTAACCAACTGAGCCACCCACATGCCCCACATATAATTTCTTAAAGCAAAGTTTATAACATTATTGTGTGGGTTTTAAAAGGCACATAGAAGTAATATGCATGACAACTGCACCATGAAGGTCAGTGAGGAGGGGGTGTAAATACTGCTACATGCATGTTGTACATGTGTATGTATGTAGGTAGGTATATATTTAATGTATATTATGATGTTTTGACATATTAAGGAAGCCTTTCTGTCTGGGGAGAGACTGCCCCTCTTGGAGCTAGCCAATTCTTAGAGATAGCAAAGGGCCCAACCCAGAGCACACCATTGATATGCATATAAAACAACCCAGAACCATACCTCTTCTATCTGGTCCATAAACACCATGAGGCAACATTCTTCTGCCTTAGTCAATCCAGGGTCAGGTACTAAGAAACAATGGATTACCCCTATGGCTTAAAGTCCACCAAAATTATTAAAACTAGCCACTCCCCAAATTGATTACCCAGTCATGCCTTGCCCTTCCTGTGGAAACTCCAGTGAAGGCTATGGTCTAAGTTTTCCCATAGCTCCTGCCCTTTCAGCCTCCTGACCAACACTGGTGACTTCCCCTGTGGCCCTATGTGGCATATGGTGACCCCCTATCTTGGACCTGTGATTATAATAAACTTCTTTCTTCTAAGCTGCCCTCTCATTTTCTCCTGTGGCCACACCAACTTTATTATACCATATCCAACATTTACATTCCTAGAACAATATGTTTACAAGGTTTCTGTTTGAAGTGTAGCCTTACAATATTACCTCTAAGTAGACTGTGAAAAATTAAAATACTTATAATTCCTTCAGCAATGGTTCTCAATATGGAGTGATTTTGCCCTTAGGGTACATTGGCAATGTCTGGGGACATTTTACGATTATCATAACAGAAGCAGGGTACTACTGGCATCTAGTGGGTATAAGCCAGAGTTACTGTTAAACATCCTACAATGCACAGAACAGCTTCCCACACCAAAGAATTGTCCTGCCCAAAATGTACACAGTGCTGATGTTGAGAAACTCTGCCTAAAGCAACCACAAAATTATATAAAATGTTATAGCTAAAAAGCCAACAGAAATATTAAAATTCAATTAGGAAGACTTAAATAATTAAAAAGGTGGTTGAAAAGATGATATAGGAATAAAAACTAGAAAGGGGAAACGGAAAACAAATAATAAGTAGACTCAACTTCAATCAGATTAAGTTATATAAAATGTAAAGGAACTAAACATTCCAATTAAAAGGCAGAGATTATCAGAGTGGATTAAAAGCATGACTCAATTATGTGATCTCTATAACAAATGTCTTTTGAATACAAAGACGTGGACAGCAGATGGATGAAAAAAAGATTTACTATGCAAAATAATAAGTATTAAAATGATGGAGTGGATATAATAATATTAAATATAAAAATAAATTTCAACACATAGAATGCTGCTAGAGATAGAGGAACAAACATTTCATCATGAAAAAAAGCTCAATTTTTCAGGAAGACATATTAATCATAAATGTATATGTACATAATAACAGACTCCCAAAATACATGAAGCAAAAAATAATAAAATTAAAGAGGCAAGAAGAAAACCCCATGATGATAGTAGATTTCAACATTCCTTTCTCAATAACCAATAAAAAGCTAGACAAAAATCAGTAAAAATACAGATAACCTAAACAATGCTGTCAAACATAATGAACTAATTGATATTTATAGAAAACTACATACAAAATTATTTTCCAATGAACATGATCATTCACAAAGATATACTATCGTTCAATCAGTAAAAGAAGTCTCAATATATTTATAAAGATTAAAATCAAGGCTGTATGTTCTCTAAATTAAAATTAAATAATACTAAAATCTTAAGAAAACTCAAAATATTTGGAAATTAGCCAATACAACTTCTAAAGTATTCATGGTTCAAAGAAGAAAGCACAAGAAAAATTAGAGACTACTTCTTGCTGAATGATAATAGAAGCACAACATATCAAAATCTGTGAGATCCAGTAAAGGATATACAATTTATGATAAATGTACACATGCAGATATTTACTTACAAATACGTATAAATACACATAAATACACACAAAAACATTTGTGTTCTTGTATATTTGCACACTATTTCTTTAAAACAACAACAACAACATGTAATTACCGGCTATTACCTAGGGAGATAATGCTTGAGAAGTGAGAGTCTAGGGTGAGAGAGAGATTTCCTGAAAATAAACATTTTAAGATGTTTAAAAATATATTTACAATTGCTTATAAAATTGAAAAATCCACCAGTTCAAAAATTCAGCAAACTAAATCAATTTGTTGCATCTTACATCCATGAAAAGTAAATTAAAAAACAGATCTTTGATACGGTGTGTTTTTTGTAAGGAAACCAACCACTTGATTGAACTGTGCTTTTTTCAACATTGTAGAAATGTTTTCCTGCTCTTACTATGTGCCAGGCCAAGGCCACGTGTTTAACGATACAAAACTAAACAAACAAAAAAATGTACTTGCCCTCAAAGAGTTCACCATTCAATGGGAGAAGCTCACATTCAAAGGCTGTCCTTCGGGCTTAGATATAAAATATTTAGGAAAGGCAGTTCCTTCCAAGACCATAAGAAGAGCTTAGTTCAGCAACCCTTCTCTACAGATCTCATCAGGTATATTGATGAATGTCAACATCTCTGAGATGGTTGATGTCATCTCCACTAAGCTCCCAGGGAAGATCTCAAACAGACTTCTTTTAAGAGCTATTATCCATCATAGATTCTGTCCACTCAGCTTTACAGAATAATTTCAATTTCCAAACGCATTACACTTTTTTCCACCTCTACGCCTTTGGCTGTGCTGTTCCTTCAGCTTGGAATGTTAAACTTTGTTCTCCTTCTTTGGCCAACTCCCACCCAATGTCAAATATAGGCTCAAATCCTTCTCCAGGAAAGCCTCTCTGATTCTCTGCCACACAAATTAGGTTGAGAATATTTCCTCCATGCTCCCACAGCTCTTTCCACCTTACATTCAACTATTTATTTCTCATGTTCTCATATTAAAGTACAAATTTACTTAAAGTTGTATCCCTGGTGTCCAACATACAGTAGAAACTCAATAATTGATTAATTCAGCTGTAGAGCTTTACTTTTCTCCCTTCACCCAGCTTATCATTCTAAACTGAACTTTGTGATTGACTCCCTACATGACATAGCCCCACCGAACCACTTTTCCAAATCTAAGGCATCACACTCACTTGTCCAGTGACATCCCAGGGAAGACAAACTCGCCCAGGCAGATTCGGTAGACAGAGCTCAGGGGAATCCGTTGCAACTGCACACAGCTGAGCATGATAAAGTCATATTTACAGATCAAGAGAGTCTTGTCTGTGACCAGCAAAATCCTCTCCTTCTCATTGTTCCAGTGGTCTATCCTGTAGGAATTATCACAGAAAATAAGAGTTGATGTCATGGTCTTTCCAAGTTAGAGATAATGGCACTCACTGAAACATCCCTACTAACACAGAAAATAGGGAGCTTTGATCACCTCAGAAGAGGGGTTGAGGAATACCTAATGCCATCCTCTCTCAGTCCAGTTCCATGACCAAGGGAGGAGGGAAGATGGAAGATTGCAGAAAATATATGATTCCAGAGATGAGTACCCATGAAGGGATCCATGAGGGGAATGACAAGTTTGTACCATGTTGGCAGCTACCTGATTCATGTTCCTTCACATCTTCCCTGTTCACTAGAAAACCTTCATCTTCCTCCAAGGACACCAAAACATCTATGTTTCTAACTCAATTCTTACCACAAACCTTACTCACCACACACTTGTTTTTTCTAATCCCCAAAAGTTAGGTTGCTGAGTGGAGATGAAATGGAGACTAACACAGGTGCACTCATCCCCAAGCCATCATTGCGTCTGTTCATCCTATCATAACCTTGAACAAGTGTAGTGGTGTTCTTATGAGCCAAGGACAAAGTAGACACTAGATCAGTGTTTACTACATTGATTTGCTTTGGCCTTGAGACCCTTTCAGGGCATGCATGGAAAATTCTGACTCAACAGAATCTCCACCAGAGAAAACAGGAAGAAATCCAAACAGTGGTGTCTGGTTAGAAGGAAGTGCACATGGTCTGTAAATCCTCTCACCCACAGCACTTTTGCTGTTTATCTACTATAGTCTTTAGGATAGAGCACTCATGACTTTTATTAGAATTATTTCTGTACATGTTTTGTTTTCCCTAAGAGACTTGTAGAGGATGATCTGTGACTGATTCATACCTGAATCCTCATGACACAGAATCAATCTAATGTAAAGACAGAATGGGCATCTTATTCCCCCCCATTCTCACAGAGTAACCACAGTGCTATTTTTAAAATGCAAACAGAATGACATCGCTCCCCTGTTTATTTTATTAAATAGCATCTCTTTGATCTTAGGAGCAAATCCAAGTTACCTGTGGACTACAGCATTATCTCATAGCAAGCTAAGAACCTCAACTGTCCAAATCATAGTCAAATGCCCCATGCAAAGAGTATTTCTTCAGTTTCTGTATAAACTTGGCTCTCTATCATGCTCTCTCAAAGTATCCAAACCCATTGTTTTTTGTTAGAAGGAATGATATGTAAAACATTTAGAAGTAAGTACCATGTGGACACTGACTGATCAGAATGGACAGCATAGTACAGAGGGAGGACAATGCCAGTCAGTGTGAGCTCAGTGTCTTGTGTGTGTGTGTGTGTGTGTGTGTGTTTGCGTGTGTGTGTGGGGGGGTATGTGTGTGTTCCATGGTGTGTGTGTGTTCCATGAAGGCAGAGACTGTGTCCCTTGGGCTACTCACTCTATCCGGTTCCTGTCAAATAGCCTACACTAAATAAGTATCTCTTGAGTGAACAGATGAGTGCTAATCAAAAATTTTGAAGGTTGTTCGGCTAGATGAGGGTGGGAGTGAAAACTTCCAGCTCTATAATTTACTAACTCTGCAAGATAGGATATTTGACCTGTCTTTGGCTCATGTTCCTTATCTGTGAAATGGAGACAATACTAGCACTCATCTAAGTTTGGGGAGAGGATTAGGGGAAATGATTCTCAATCAGTGCTCTATAAATCAGCTATTATTATCAGTGGCAGGGACCTCAGTCACAAAGGAATTTTGGGCAACCCAGATATATGCCATTCCCCAGTATAGCATAACCTAAACAAAGACAAGTAAGACAAGTCAGAAGTTAAATCAGTGCAAGGAACAGTAGACGTGTGAAAGAGAGAAAAAAGGATAAAAGAGAAGAAAAGAGAGAAAAGCAGAAAAAGGAAAAACAAGAAGGCTGGGATCACTGATAGAGGCCCTACTGTACGGTGGCCATGAGGTGGTATCAGTACTAGTTCTACATCCCCCACAACCCTTTGAAGAAAATCACATCTGAAGTCAGTCAACTATAATATGATAGTAGATAGTAGAATATGGTGTACAGTCTGAGAGATCTGGTTTAAATCCTGGTTCGACTGTGTCCATCCACTCCAATAACACTGCCATACTCAACTCCTGACGCACAGAGAAAAGGAAGGAATTCTAGATAATCTGTTTAACACTCTCAGTCTTAGTCAGAAAGACACCGGGGACTCTGAAATGTCTTATCAGATATCTACATAAATTTCTCTAAATAGCTTGCATCTACTTAGCAGCAAGTTAAAAAGCTGCTGCCTAATAAACCAGACTTGGTTTTAGTCTAAAAAAACCACAGCTTTTGGTTGAATGGTTTTACTGAAAATGTCAGCACTCCATAATGAGATTTATTTTAAAAGGTAAAGGATTTGGGAAAAAAGAGAATTCTTTTTAGGAACACAGAGTGCTCTGCTGTGACACAGATTCTGCATAATTTACATGTCGGGAAAGTCTGAATTCAAGTAAACACACAGATTTATAAATAGTTTGGGGCCACATCTCTAGCTCCTGGGTGGTATATGTATTTATTTAGACTTCAATCACACCTTTTTCCCCAAATAACTCATGCAAAAAACATTGAATTTCATATTCCCAATATTAACATAATTGAAGTTGGGTTGGCAACAATATCCACAACAAATATAGGGATAGGAGTAAAAGTAACATATTATGGAGATTTACAAAGTCCTTGGATATTGATGGTCCTTTTAATCCTCACAACAACCCTTTGGACTGGATGTTATTACCCTCATTTTAAAGACAAGGTAGAGAGACACAAAACCCAGCCATGGTATGAGCTTTCTTCCCACTACCATCCACCTCCAAATAGAGGGTCCTTCAGTTGGTATGAGAATGTGATAAAACCCACTTCTGGAAGGAGCTGATGTGATGATATATACCACTCCTGGGACTGTGCTCTCTGGGAAACCTTTCCCCTGAGGAAACACCTATCATTGTCCCTTTCAGACCTTGTTCCCCCTCCAGTGTTCCCAATGTTGGAAAGGAACCCTCCTTCCAGTTATACAAGCCAGAGACTTAGGAGGGAGTCATTCTGAACTCTCCCTTTTCCTCACCTCACCTGCCAGGTCCTAAACATTTGACTCCAAAAATATTTCTCAACACCGCCCACTTATCTCCATCTTGACCTTCACAACCCCAATCCAGTCTTCCCTCATCTCCTGCTTAGACTATTTCAATCACCCTCTTACAAGGTTTGGACTACTAGTCACCTAGACCCATTTTACCTACCTCTGCTCTTGTTCCTTCCTAACCTCTCCACCATACTGCAATGAGGGGGACCTTTTGAAAAAAACAAATCTGGCCCCCACCTCTCCACTTTAGCTTCAAACATTTCCACAGTTCCCCAGAGCTCTTCTAAGAAATGACAAAAGTTCTTCACCTGGTCTAAGATGCTGTCCACGGTCAAGCCCTACCTACTTCTTCAACCTCATCCCAGGCCAAGACTCTGCACTCATTCTTCTTGATCTTTCAGTTTCTTGCATTTAACATGCCCACTCCTACTAAAGGGACTTTGCATATGCTGCTTCCTCCTGAGGTTCTTTACCTAACTGCTATAGTGCTGAGCTCAATTACTCCTTGCTCAGGCAAGCTTTCCCAGACCTCTGTGACTACTTCTGTTCTTTCTAATGTACACTTACATAACACCACACATTTCTCCTTCATAGTATTTATCCCAGATACAATTTTACAGTTATTTCTATGATGACCTAATTAGTGTCTGCCTCCTCTCCTATACTATAAATGCCACAAAGACAGTCAGTTCTTCACATCCTGTCTCCAAGGTTGCATGTGTCCAAAAAGTATTTCTGAAATGAATTAGTAAAGAATGAACAATCCTTGTGCTGTGCAGCCATATGCCTTGGCTCATGCTGTTCGGGAATCCTATCCTCACGTTTACACATTGAAATACTCCCCCATAAAATAGCACAGTTTCAAAAACTAATCAGTAACATTGGGAAAATGTTCATGCCTTTAAAGTCAGAAAGAGAGGATACAAAATGTTACTTTCAGGATACTTCCAACTTTGTAACAACAAATCCATAGATCAAAATGGTAACAGTGATTATTTCTGAGTGCTGGGATTTCACATGACTTCCATTTCTTTTCATGATTTTATTAGCCAGTGTTTAATTTCTTTTGGCAATGAACATATTCTACTTTTATGATAAAGAGATACTTTTTTTTAAAAAAAAATAATCTCACCTATCCTTCAAGTCCCCAGTTTAAATGCTATCTATTTCATGGAGACTCACCTTCACCAGTCTCCAGCCCAGCCCCCACAAAGTAGATGCCGTCTTTCTTTGCATTAAATACACAGAAGCTTTTTATCAGAGCCTCAGCTGAAGCTCAAGTCACAATCTGCTCTATATTACAGTGATGTCTGTCTCCAGAATATCCTCTTGTTGCCGCACATTTGATGAGAGACACCCTAGTGTAGAGAGGTGTTTTGGTCCTGTTCGCGTCCCCTCACTATGCCCAACACAGAGCCCAGAGAGATCATGGTCTTAGCAAGTGAGCAGAGCATGAAAAACTAAAACCATAAGATTCATCCTCTTAGCTGTGAGACCCAGTGTCCCCTGACAGAGGATTTGTCACATCCCCTGTTGCCACTGCTGTTCCTCAGCACTAGCGTCATTTCCCTATTTGATGAAGGGCCCGGACACCCCAGTATAAAAGGGAATCTAGGAACTCCGTGAGATTTGTGGTTTCCTGGGATGACAACAGTTTTGCCAGCAGAGGGCAACAGCGAACCAGCAATGACCGGCAACCGGTCAGAGCAAGTTTCCAGGGCTCCCATCCAGTCACTCAAACCATCCAGATGCTTTCCCAGTGGCCACAGCCCTACCCCAACAATACTTTCAGTTGCTCTTTTAAGGCTGTGTCACATCAATTTGTGGTTTTGAAATTATTTTCCTCCAAAAATGTTTTTTTCTAACATTATTCCACCATACTTACACACATGCAC